CTTCCTCTCACACACTCTCTTTCTGGCTCACTCTGATCAAATTGAAAAAAAAAAAGTAAAATAAATAATTATTTTTAATAAAAGAAGGCCAAGAAACTTCTGCTTTTACAGTTTTGGGAACCCTAGGCCACCATGTGTAAAGTCCCACCACCCTGATGGAAACACATAGAGAGTAAGAAAGAGACAGCGGAACTCAGCCAACCCAGTGACCCATTCTTCTAGATGCTCCTGCCAAGGCACCAGACATATGAATGCACCATCTAGGAAATGCCAGCTTAGTGAAGCTCCCAGCAGACTGTAGCCCCAGGTGACATCACCTGGAGAAGGACCATCAACCTGAGCCAAAGCAGTTCCAATTATTCATGGAAGAATTAATGTTCATAAAACTGGTTCTTATGATGTACCATGATTTAATAATTATCTATTGCTGCATAACAAACTGCCCCAAAACATAGTGGTTTAAAACAGCAGGTAGTGCATTGATTCTCAGAATTTGTAGAACACTGTCAGAACAAGCATATTACAAAATACTTCCATATTCATTAGCTCATGTTAGCCTAATGACAATGCTGCAAGTTAGGAAGGGCAAGGATTTTTGCTAGTCCTCATCTTAGTGTTTCTAAGTGACTTGAGATGGCTGAATCCGTTAGTGGCAGAGCTGATCTGATAGTGGATGCAGGGCTTTTTCTCTGTAGGCTTAGCCAGTGCCCCCAAGGATTCATTGCAAGACAGAATCAGCAGGGCCAGGGCTCAGTAGGGAATTAGTTAGAGTAGGCCATGGCACAGATGGCCAGATGCAAAGGCACAGAATATTGAAGACTGTCCTTTAGAAAGGGTAATGGGGTAGGAGTCAGGGTGACAGACAAGGAATGACATTGAGGTGACACAGCACAAGAGGCTTTGAGTACATAATGACATGTGGTTGGAAGAAGCCATCCCCAATCTGATGGATGAACTAAATATGAAAATGCAGATACTGTCCAGTGGGTCTGCCCTGAGGAGCTTGGCCAAGGCCACCCAGCTCCACTTCACACTGGTCACCATATGCAACTACAACTGATACTCTCATCACACAGGGTCTGAACCAAGGTGGCCATGTGCCCCAGCTTTGTCTGTGTTACAGAAAGTGTCTTCAGGAAAGACCCTAATTTTCTAACTTAATCATGATACCTCCCTCTCTGCCTCAGGACCATGGACTTGGGCCTAAGAGAACGAGGAATCCTGCTGTAGTGAGTACAATGTCAGGCAGCAGGTAAACCAGTTATCCCACCCATCGTGCACTCTTCCTGGCCTCTGTCCAACCCAGAAATGGATATGGAATTGCCACCCTTGTCCCACACCTACCATCAGCCTCCTCTCCAGCCCTGGATTTCCTTCTGCAGTTGGTACACATGCTTGAGGGATGATGAAAATCCTACCCAGGCCAGGCCCTCTATGTATCGCTATAAGGCAGCTAGTCCTGAAGAGCATTTGGGCTCTGGCCCACTGGCTTAGAAGTGGTCATGGGCTACTTTGAGGTGCCCATGCATTAGGATCAGAAATGGGCTGGGCCCCTGAGAGCCATAAACACCCTACTGCTGGGAGGGCCCACATGCTGGCCCCACTGCCCACTCACTATGGGGACTTGTTGCTTCTGGGTGTGTATGTGCATTTATGTGTGCATGTGTGTCCTATGTGTGTATATCCATGACTCTCATAGGGAAGTCTAGTCCATGCATAACACGTGGAAGTGATCATGAATTTACATCTAGGAAACCTCCCCAAGGCAGGGTTGTGAGTTGCAAATGAAAAACTTGAAGAGAAATATATTTCTTTTGAAAAAAATCCTCCCTCCCCCATTGCAAGTGTCAGAGTGAGTTAGTAAACAGCCTCTCTATACTTACTACAGAGACAAGTATTCAGAATCGGAGGAAACTCCTTTGATGAAGGCACAAATGGGAAGAGAAAGGAAGACATTGTGGAGACAGGTTGACAACACCACGATGAGACAAAATGAACACCAACAGTGGGGGACATCCACTTGGGCTCTGGCCTCAAGCAGATAGGTTTCCTCTGGCAAAGCTAGGCCTACATGCAAGATGGCAATTTGCTTTTGCAGGGGCTCAGAGATTGGGGGATTCTATCAGAATTCACATATGGAGTAATTCTACCCAGGAGAAAGCTGCTTCCAACAGGCCATCGTATTGACGCTCTCTGGAAGGCAGTCCAGCCCTCTCTGGTGGGGATGTCAGGGGACCGGGGAGGAGTGTGCAGGTCGTGGAGTGATTCCAGGAGCTCATTAAAGACCCTTTTATGATTCAGGTGGCTAGGGACTACAAAAGCATTATTATTCACCAAGTAGGTATTAATTATTAATCATTATTAATCATAACCACAATTAGATTTTACATTTAAAATCTTACATTTAAGTCATGCTTTTACTCTTTCAAAGTGTGTTTTCATCTATACTCCCCTTATACATAAAAACCTTGAACTGGGGGTATGTATGGGACAGACATATCCCCAGTTGACAGACAAGGAAACTGAGGCCCAGAGTAATGATCTGATTTGCTAAAATCAGCAGCTGAGTTACTATTAGCAGTTTAGTTGGGCCTGGAACTTAGTTCTCTAAACTAGTATCTCTCTAATGAAGTTGTTCTTGTTCTGACTATACTTTAAATTTCCCAAGGAGATCTTAAGACTCCAGGTTATAGTCTCCCGCACCAGACCATTCAACTTACAAATGCTAGGGTGGGATCTAGGCAACAGGAATTTTAAAGCTCTCTGGTGATTCCAAAGAGCAATTAAGGTTGAGAATGACATCATCAACCCCACCTGGAAAATGTAGCATCCCAGACGCCATTCTATACTTAATGGGTCAGAATGTTCTTTTTCACAAGATCTCCTCCAGGTGGTCCCCATGCACATTCAAATCTGAGAACTGGGCTGGTGCCTCTGGGAAGGCCCAACAGCCAGCCACGTCTGAGTCAGAGGGAAGGAGGCTGTGGGTCAATCGTTAACTCATTCATCATTATGTAGACCAGGCGTAAGGTGTAGAATGTATTGTCATAGCTTGTGAATGGAACAAGTTGAAATTTGGGAACCCCTTTGTGACCAGCAACAGCAGAAAGGCAAGTTTCCTGGGTAGAAATGGGGACAAGTCCTATAGGAAGAAAGACTCTACAGAGTGCATACCTGTCCTGCCTCCCATGCAGACACCTTTCTCAGCTTGTGGGTACACCTCCTTCCCTCCCTGCCACTCAGCCTGACTCACCCTCTGAAGACTTGGAAGGGGACACCACCGGGCTCTTCGTTTCTGCCTCCTTGGCTGGACTCTGCGCTGGAGAAGCAGGTGCAGACTTCACAGGTGAGCCAGGCTCTTCTGGGGCGGTTTCTTTTTCTACTGAAAACAGAGAAAATGACCTCAAAATAGTAGTCAAGTAGAGGAGAGATGAACAGAGAGAGCATTTTAAAAATTGCTTTTTTTCCCTACTTGGTCATCCTTTTTTCTAATGAGCCTGTGGCTGAAGTGAATTGCTCCCCTTACCTTTATACCTTTGCTACTTCTTGGGAAGGCAAATGGGAGAAGTGACAGTCATGCCATTTCCTTCATCGGAGCACATCTCCCAGAGGGATGCGTTACCCCTGATGTGGATGACAAGACAGCAGAGATTCCTTGTGCATTCAGACTGGAGCCCAGCCCTCGTCTCTGTCCTGTCTCTGAAGAGGACCACCCAGATGCTTTATGTTGTGAGCACAGAGCACACCAATGGGTCACAGATGAACCCCAAAAGAACCATGAACACTTCTTAGAGACCCCCAATGTGTTTGCATATAGCTAATTATTAACTTTTCCTACTTACATTTTTTTGTCCAAATAATCCCTAGGGATAAAAAGCATCATGTGTTCCCAACTACTTTCTCAACTGGCACAGTAGAAATCCAAGCAAGCCAGCAAGGCTTCCTCCTAGTACCTAGGAAGGCCGCTGAGCCCAAGTGGGTAGGGATGGTGGCAGAAGAAGCCCCAACCCTGAGGGGGCGACAGCCTTGCCTGGTGGGCTTGAGAAGCTGAGTTATGTGTCTCAGACCCCAAATGCTTTTAAAGCAGAACTTAGTTTGGTTGGGGAGGCTGACAGGGAGGCCTTCCTAACTGGAATTGCACAGGGAGGAATGGTTCGATTAGAGCCTGAAGTATCAATAACTCTGGATCAGGCTAGCAGAGAAAGGAAACCATGTCAGGAAAGGACACAGGCATGAACAAGGGCAGATATGCCATCATGAGTAAGAATATTCAGTAGTGAACAAGGAGAGAAGAGCTTGACTGAAGATTCTGAAATAAAGATGAAGTCAGAGAAAGACATAAAGGTGTTGGCTGGTAGAGTGTTTAGACTTTTTTTTTAAAAAAATAGGGGTATGTGCATGCACACTAGAGAGAGAGAGACAGAAAGAGAATCACCAACAAGGTCTCGTAGAGCTATAATCCCCTTGCCCCCGCTCTTCAGCTCCTTGGCACCTCGAGCACCAGCTCATGCACCCAAGTGTATTTTCAGGCCAACTCCCAAGTATCTGAAACTGTGGTCTGCACGTGGCTTCCAGAGTCACAAGGCACTACCTTTGACCACTATACCATAGTATCTAGGCCTGCTAGAGGATTTTAATCAACAGGCTTAGATTTAAGCCAGACCTGATAATGAATAATTAAGACTATTATAACTATTTTGTCATAGGGCGGGCGCCACCACGCCCAATTATAACTATTTTGTGATAGCTAACATTTATCCAGTGTTCACTGACCTAAGACAGATTTATAGGCACTGTTCTAAGCGTGTCATAACTATGAACTCTTTATACTCAGGTGAGAGAGTCAAATGAGGTTAGGGGGCATTATATAACTATTACATACTCAGCAATCAGAGGTATTATTATGATTAATATTATTCCAATAAAGATATATGAAGGAATCTTCAAAGAGTTCATGGAAAATGCATATCATGAAAAACTATGTATGAGTTTCAAAATTCTCTTTTGCACCAAAATAAACTTGTGCTTTAATTTCCTCTTCCCACAGACCTTTTGAAGTCCTCCCATATTTGGTGATGGGATAGGAAGATCCTCTCTGGTGGTCCTGAAATTTCCCTTTCACCCAGAGATTCTGGAAACGTGGTGCCCCAGGGTCATTTACCATCAAGTTCCAGCTTCTTCCGCTCCACCTCTTTCTTGTACTCCTCCAGCTCCTGGTCAGTGAGTTGGCTGAAGGGGTTGGGCACTGTCTCTTCTGAGTCATCTTTGGTATCTGCATCGCCCTTGGACATCAGCTGGCTGTCTGTAGACTGAAAAGTTAACCACAGAGTGTGTGTTGCTCTCTGAACGCCGTGGTTGGGGCCCAGGCCCAAGCTTCCTTTCAGACTCATGTGGCTGCCAGTGGTCTTACTAGGGGCAGCATGGCATGCAGCTCCTAGACACAGCTCAGGGCCTTCAGGTGGGAGCTTTTCATTCCTCCCCATTGCTACCTCACCCCCAATCCCAGACTTGGCAACTGCCTGGATGAACATAGGGTGTCTACCCGCTGCCCCTGAAATAAAATCCAAGGATGCGCCCAAGCAGAAGGAAGACACAGCTTTATTGCAGCCCCTTCCATGGACATTCCAAGCCAACACTACGCAGATACAGTTGGTGGCCCAAAGCCAGTCAGCCAAAGCCCAGCAAGCATAGCATTGGCTCAAGCAAGCTTCATGCCAGCCATCCCCCCCCACCCTTGCCTCTTCCCTCCCTGTCCCCCAACAGGAGGAAAAGCCACAACACACAGCATTAAATCATATGCAAAACACACAGCGGCTTCAGCCTTCTCAGTCCAAACTGTTAGTCCTGTTTTACACACAGTCGTGAATTATACAGGGGCCAAGATCCTGAGTCTCAGATCTTCAACCCGCCTGTACTGCAGGTCCCTGCAGGGACGTTGACAAAATCACCATGTTTCACCACCTCTATGGAGCCCCTGGCTCTGGGGAGCTGACCAGAGGACCTTGTGTAATCTTCAGTATTCTTAGGACCCCTCTAACCGAAGACAAGGACTAAAGTCAGACTCCATGGCTTTTTCCCAATTTGGCATTCTCATCTTAGCCTTTGAAAATGCAGGGCTCTGAAGCTGAGACACAGCAATGGAAAGTGAAGCCAAAGAAAGGCAAGGCCCACACCAGGCCTCTGGACCTCCCTTCCCTGGCCAGCTTGGGCTATTGATGGGTCCACAGTTCCTCCCAAAGAGAGGCACCACCAGGCCTTCTATAAGAAACCATGGAGTCAAAAGAGAACCTAAGACCCAGACCCCAAGGAGAGAGAGCACTTGGTATGAATGGCGGAGTTGCCTCTAACAGTTCTGCTCATCATCGTGAACCCTCGTCTGCCCCAGAATCATGGCTATTTCCTGGCCTTGGCCCTGAGGCACATTCATCCTCATCTTAGCTGAGGTGGAATAGGGCAGTTGGATTGGGAGTGATGATATAACTGTCACGCTTCTGCCCATGGGCACCTGCTCTGGATGGTGGCCTAACCTGAAAGTGTTACGTCATCTCCATTTGCTCTGTAGACAGGAACAGCTCCTGTGTTTCCCTACTTCTTACTGCTAAGAAAAATGTCCCGCCCATCACTACCTTGCAATGAGCAGCAATGATTCCCATACTCACCAGAGTTCTGAGTTCCTTCCCCTCTTGCTAAGCACTAGACAACACAGTGTTCTACCTCAAGCACGAAACAATGACTTGCTACTTTCTAATTATGTGGATTTGAGTGTCCAACTGTCTGCCCCTTTCCCTCCTGTAGGAGCATGAGACCTATCTGCATGCCTCTCTCTGTGGGTACATGAGCATCTTCCAGGGCTCAGGCTGGCCTTGCACAGAGGTCAGAAAAACTCAGAGCTGGGCATGCCTGGGGCCCAGGCAACCACTAGCCATATGGCTGTGAGTCCCCACTTTGCAGAGTACTAACGGAGGGCAAAGTGGGGTTCCATGTGGAAGGATAGAAACGGCCAGTGTGCAGGCAGGGCTGCTGTCCCCTGCAGTGCCCATAGGGGTGATGAGACACCATCCTCCTACGTCCATGGCACCCTGTGAAGTGGGCCTCCATTTGCAGCAAGAGCACCAGTGCCCACAATCACAGAGGAATATGGGCATGCGCACTCAGGGGTCCTCCTGCCCAGCCCCGGGCACTAAAGACCCAGGAGGCAAACACGGTTCCCCTCCAGAAAGGGGTGGCTGCTGCTGTACCGGGCTTCGGCTCTTCTCAGAGATAACACTCGCCAGGAGCTGGGACTGAGGCCCCGCCGACTTCACATCTTGTCGGTTTTGTTCTCGAATCTGTGTGGAAAGGGGAGAGGGAGAGTGAGCTGGCTGCCCCTATCGGAGGGTGGCATTGGGAGGGAGCACTCTGGTGTCTGGAGTGGCCTGTGACCAGGGTCCAGTGAGAGCCTCCAGTGGCCTGGGAACCTGTCTCCTCTTTTTCAACACAATCTGCCCACTCCAAGGGATGGTCTCTATGTCCATGCCAGAGCAAATTAGTAGTTCCCATAAAACACTGGATTTCATTCACTCTGAGAAGGTAGTTGTAAGAGGTGAAGAGAAAATGAGGCACAGAGAAGCCTTGAGGGAGGTTCTCAAAGGATTCTCCAAAGGCACTAAATACAGATTCCTGGGGCCACTCCACAACTATTGAATCTCAGTCTTGGGTGGTGTGGGGGTAAGTGACCTAGAAATCGAAATTTTAGTTTATTTTATTTTTGTTTACATGTAATGACTGTATATCTTTATCCTGTGCAGCATGGTTTTTCCCAGCATGAATACAGTGCATGCCAGTCAAGTCCAAAGCATTACCCTATACACTATCATCAGCAAATAACTTTGCCTTTTCGTGTCTACTAAATACGTTGTTTGTTTTTTCCCTGATCTCGTCCCTTCCACCTCCAGAACCTGAATTTTAAACCACTGGGTTTTGGGCTCCGCAATGAAACACTCTTCTGGGTGCTATCTGACCTACCAAAGGGGGTCTGCTACAACGAAAGTGTTTAAAGCAACAAAAAATATAAGTGGAAGGCTGGTGGTTAAGGTGCTGGACTCTCACATAACTGACTATGGTCTGAGTCTTGGACCTAGTGGCCTGAAATTCATGCTGGGCACATATCCAAAATCCCTAGAAGAGAGTGGAGGAGAAGGGACTGGTATGGACAGCCCCCTTGAGGGGTGATTTCTCACTTTCCCTCTCTGTGTCTCTCTCTGGTGAGTACACATGCCCTATGGAAAAAAACCTTAAAAAAAAATGAGTGAACTGTCAGGCAAAGGTCTAGAAATAAGCAAAAAGGATTTTGACATCTTGAAAATAAGCCGAAAGGCAAATGGCATAAGATTCATGAAAACTGCATTTGTGGACAGGCCTTTCAGACACATCTAATGGATAAGGAAACCCCGCTCTATGGAAAGGGCTGGAAGGAGTGAAGGACAGAAGTCGAGCACTTCACACAGCGTCTGGGACATGGTCAGTGGATGGTGGTTTCCTCCTCCTGGAAGGCATCTGGGATTGGGGAGCCAGGCATGTCCTGGGAACACAGGCTGTGACTGCAGTACCTGAGATTCCCCCCTAGTAGGAGAAGAGGGCATGAGGTGAGCAGCCACCAGCTTACCTTGTTCCTCATGTCCAGCACTTCTTGGGGGTCAGTGTAGAGAGGCACAAATTGGTTTGGGTTTTCGATCCGGATTGGCATGCCGCTGCTGGATTTTTCTACCTCATCGGCCTTCATCCACTGAACAAACACAAGCCATAAGGGTCAGGCCAAGGGACAAGGCCCCCGTGGGTCCTCCCCAGTGGTCCACCCCTGAGATCTGGGCCTACCCGCCCGCACAGGAGGTCAGCGAGCTTCGATGTGATGCTCTCTTCTTGGGTGACAAATGACACTTCTGTCTAAAAATGTTCTCGGGCCAACAGTCAGCCATAAAGAGCAGTGGAGTGTATGGGTCAGAACCTTGGAGACCTGTTCTGAGACAGGCAGCCACTTGAACTTCAGTAACAGGGAACACAATTTGAATTTGGAAGGCTTCCTATTGTTTTATGACAGATCTTCTGTTTGGCTGCCGGCTACTTTTATGCCAATAAAAAATCAAACTGAGAGTCTATGTGTGTAAAAGAGGGGGTGAGAGAGAGACAATGAGAAGATAGCTTAATAGAGGTGACTATTCCGCTCACCTCCTGCTTACATCAGAGCTGCTGCTAGTACACTGGATGCCTGTCTTTTTTTTTTTTTTCTTTTTTTGGAGAGGTGGTTTTTTTGTTTGTTTGTTTGTTTGTTTGTTTTGCTATAGGGCACGTGTGCTCACCAGATAGACAGAGAGACAGAGAGATAGAAAGCGAGAAATCATCCCCCGGGGGGGATGGCCACACCGCAATCCCTTCTCCTCCATTCTCCTCTCAGGATCTTGAGCACGCACGCACACGCGCCCAGCGTGAGTTTAAGCCACCGGGTCCGGGACTCAAACCACAGTCGACTATGTGGGAGTCCAGCGACATTGCCATTACGCTAACTGCTGGTCCCTGGATGCCTGTCTTTTGAACTTCCCAGAAGCCCCCTGTGGATATAGGAGTAAAAAGAAAAAAAAGAAAAAAAGAAAAAAAAAAAACCAAAAAAAAAAACCTCCTCCTACGTTTGCTGGGAGTAGCCCATCCCAGTCCCAGAAACTCTCTCTAGATGTGTGAGTAAGAAAAACCACTTGCTCCTGGGTTTCCTGGGAGTAGCCTGGTCCAGCTCCCTTCTGGAGAAATCTGTTCCTTAGGCTCAAAAACTCAGAGCAGTACAAGAACCGGGTGAGCAGCTCAGTAGGTCTGGGCAGCTGTTCCCAGATGCTCTATAGGAAGCCCTAAGAGGAAACCATACTGACCCAGGGGCAGTAGAGACTCCCCTTTTAAACCTGCTTTGCCCCACAAATGTAGCCTGCCCCTGTCTTGGGCTCCTCTCTTACTGTGGTCTTGGGCCGGGGGCTACCCATGCTCCTCTGGACTTCATCGGCCACATTGACCCGCAGATAGGTGTTGGGTGTGTTGAGCCAGCGGGTCTTCTCCTTCTGCTGCTTCTGGGCATGCTGTCTCAGGGCAGGGACCGGGGCGCCGTCCTCCTCAAACACGAAGGCTGTCACTGTCGCTGGAATCTCCACCTCACTCTTGTGTTTGGTTTTCTCTTGAACAAAGGGGTGGCGGTATGTGTAGCCTGTTCTGTAACCCTTTAAAGGAGAAAAGCAGAACCACTGTTTGTGCACAGTCTGCTCACACACCCACATGCACATATGTAGTCTGTCCTCTTCCATTTAAAGAATTCCTTTTAAACTCAGATTCTACTGTATTATAGAAAAGTCATGATGCATTTTCGCACAGAAAAACATAGAAAAATATGTCATGACTTTTGCAATGACCCAATAGAAGACAACCTATATCTTACTGATCTTATGTTATATTTCAAAATTGTTCACTCCTCTTGTTTCCACAACTTTTCTCTTCCTTCCTCCCAACAAGCCCTCTGAACAGGGCTGAGAAAAATCTCAGAAACTTTTGGCCCACAGAGATAGAGCTCCTTACCCAAACAGAACCCCAAATTTTATCTAGTCCAGTGGTTCTCAACCCCGGCTATACATTAGGATCATCTGAGGGGCTGCTATGATTTGTGTGCTCCCAAAATTTGTGTATTGAAATTTGTTTTAATTGTGAAGGTATTAAAAGGATAGAAACATAGTTCAATTATTGTGTTGAAAGTTGGAGCCTTTGGGAAGTAACTAGGATTAAAGTCTTTAAGGTAGGGCCCCCATGATTGAGTTATTATAAGAGAGGGAGAGACCAGAACTAACATGGACAGACACACATCTCTCATTCCGTGAGGACCTTAGGTGTGTTAGTCACCTAAGAAAACCTACACCATATGTGGCTCCTTGACTTGAACCTCCAAAACTGAGATCCGGATGAACTTGTGCTCTACAAATACCCAGCATGGTAGTCAGTTGTTAGTGACAGAGAAGTGGACTAAAATAGGAGATTTTAAAAATACTGATGCCTGGGCCAGCCAGTGGTATGGTGATTAAGGCACTGGACTCCCACATAGCTGACTCCACAGTTCGAGTCCTGGACATGGTGGTTTGAAAATCACATAAGGTGCATGTGCATCCATGCCCAAAATCCCAAGAGGAGAATGAAGGAAAAGGGATTGTGGCATGACCATCTACCCTGGGAGGTGATTTCTCACTTTCTCTGTTTCTCTGTCTCTCTCTGGCAAGTGCACATGCCCTATGGCAAAAACCTAAAAAACAAACAAACTAACTAAATTGATGCCTGGGCCCTAACGTCAGAGCTGCCAACTTAATCAGACAGTGGCATAGATTAGGGTATCAGAGTTTTAAAAAATTTCCAGCTGATTCTAACATGCACACCCTTTTTCATAGTCTGCAACTCTAATGCTTCTTAACTATTTCTCTCTCAGAACCCTAAAATCTGGCTCTATCTCTTTTTCCTAAATAAGAACTTGTTCCACAAAGCTGGAGTTGATGACCATTCAGTGAGAACAAACATTCAGGAATCTTGGCACCTACCAGCAACTCTCAGCTTTCTCTAGTCTTCTTCATTTATTTTAAAAATTAAAATGGGATTAAGGTAATTTTCTGGTTATTAAAATGCAGGGCCAATCCTGTAGTGCAGGGGTAGGTACTGTGCAGAAGGGAGCTGGATCCCATTTGGCTAACTGGGATTCAAATTCCAGCCCTGTTGACATCACACCCAGCGCACATGCGTGCCCATGACTCCGATAGGATGGAGAATTGGAGGAAAAAGGATTGTGGCGTGACCAAGACCCACTGTAGGAGTGCTTTCTCTCTCTGTCATGCTCGTGCACATGCTCTTTAGTATTTAAAAGAAAAAGTACAGACCCATGGGGAAAAAAAGCAATACATTGGAACCAGCAGTTAGCGTAATGGCTATGTCGCTGGACTCCCACGTAGCCGACCGCGGTTCACGTCCCGGGCCCGGTGGCTTAAAACTCATGCCGGAAGCGTGTGCGTGCATGCCCAAGATCCAGAGAGGAGAATGGAGGAAAAGGGATTGCAGCGTGACCATCCCCCCTGAGGGGTGATTTCTCGCTTTCTGTCTCTATGTCTCTCTCTGTTTGTCTGGCGAGCACACGTGCCCTATAGTGAAAACCTCTCCCCCCCAAAAAAAAGCAATACATTGTAGAAAGACATATAGAAAAAAGTAAATTTTATGCAAATGCTTGTCCTCAGAGACAACTACTAAAAATTTGTCCAGTCAAAACTGGGTATCCACCTGCAGAAAGATGAAACTAAACCCCCATCTTTCACCATTGACAAAAATCAATTTGAAATGGCTCAAAGATCTGAACTTAAGACCTTAAACTGTAAAACTACTGGTAGAAAATCCTGGGGAAACTCTGGGAGACACTGCAGTAGGCAAAGACTTTTTAAATAAGACTCTCAAAGCACAGGCAACAATCCCTAAAATAGACAAATGGGACTATATCAGACTAAGAAGTTTCTGCACAGCAAAGGACACAGTAATTAGTGTGAATTGACAACCCTCAGAATGGGAGAATATTTTTGTAAAATATACCTCAGACAAGGGACTGATAATCAGAATACACAGGGAACTCAAGCAGCTTACTGAAAAAAAAAAAAAGGAGTAACCCAATTAAAAGATGGGAAAATGAGGTGAACAAAAATCTCTCTAAGGAAGACATGCAAACAGCCAAAAAAGCATATGAGGAAATGCTCAACATCCCTCATCATAAGGGAGATGTAGATAAAAACCACAATGAGATACCACCTAACCCCTGTCAGAATGGCAAAGATTAAGAATATAAAAAGTGATAAGTGTTGGCAGGGATGTGGTGAAAAGGGAACCCTCCTACACTGTTGGTGGGAATGTGAACTGGTTCAGCCACTGTGGAGAACAATATGGAGGTTCCTCAAAGATCTACATGCACCCTACAGCAAAAATCTCTGACTAAAAATAATAATACTAAATATTTTTACTATCATTAATCTTTCAAATATTTTCCCCGTAACATGTCTTTTATCTTCTTTGTTTATGGTGAGGGAATGGTTTACAGAAATGTAAATAATTTTTAATGTAATCACATCTCAGTATTTGTCATTGTAATTTCATATTTTTCTGCCAGTCTTCACCAATACAGAAGCACCAAAAATATGAATCTATGTTTTAATGCCTCTATGAATTTACTTTACATGTTTAAATTTTGGGTGAAGCAGGACTTCGTCTTGTTAAAAGGAATGAGGTAGCAATCTGCCTTAGTTTTCTTTCCCGAATGGCCAGTATTCTATCTTTTCCCACTGATATATAAAGCGGCTGCTTATCCTGTGCTAAGTTCATATATTCTGGGTCTATTTCTGGATTCTCTAAGCCGTTGCAATGGTTTGCTTGTCCGCTCTTCTTGTGTCACTCTGCACAGTCACTAAAGCTCTTTCACACTTTTCCATGGGGTAGAACTAGCGGCCCTAGTTACTTTTCTTTTTATAGCATTTTCTTGGCCATTGTGAATTCCATGGGAAAGATTATTTTGTTAAGTATATGTATCTTCCCCACTTTTCAGAGAATTACATTGAGTTCGTTCATTAATTTTCGGGGAATTACCTCCTCACCCTATTGTGTTTTCTAATCTAGGATAAAGTACAGTTCTTCACTGCTTTCACGTTTTCTTTGATGTCTATTGGTAAAATTTTATGGGTTTCTTTTTTTAAAGTATTATTTATTTTAATTTTATTATTATTATTTTTAATCGGACCAGAGAGAAATAGAGAGAGAGAGAAGGAAAGTTAGAAAGCAAGCTGCCAGGCCCATGTGGGTTTCTTTAAACAGAGTCTGCTTAATGTTTATGATTTTGCTGCACTTGCAAATATGGGCCAAGTATCCCTTATCAAAATGGTTGGGACAAGGGAACCAGCATTTAGCGTAATGGCTATGTCGCTGGACTCCCATGTAGTGGACCGCGGTTCACGTCCCGGACCCGGTGGCTTAAAACCCATGCCAGGCGCATGTGCGAGCGTGCCCAAGATCCCGAGAAGAGAATGGAGGAGAAGGGATTGTGGTGTGACCATCCCCCCTGGGGGGTGATTTCTCGCTTTCTGTCTCTCTGTCTCTCTCTGTCTGTCTGGCGAGCGAACGCGCCCTATAGTGAAAACCTCTCAAAAAAAAAAAAAAAATGGTTGGGACGAGACATATTTCAGATTTTAGATTTTTTTGATTTTGACATATTTGCATGTACATTGTGAGTGATCTTGGGGTAGAACCCGAGACTAATTTATTTTTCTTACATGTCTTATACACGTAGCCTGAGAAAATTTTATACAGTATTTTTGTACTGCAGTGTTTTGCCTGTCACCTGGCACATGAGGTTAGGTATATAATTTTCCACTTATGACATTATGTCACTGTTCAAAAGTTTTGGATTTGGGAGCATCTCAAATTTCGAATGCTCAGATTAGGAGTTCTCAACCTGTAAGATTATTTTCTCCCATGATTATATTTTCAAAGAAGTTAATCTTTAAACACAAAAATCACCAATTTTTGTGTATGTTTTCATAACTGATCACTTTAAAAATACCCTCATTATTTCTAAAATTTTTTTGTAGATTTTTTGCCATAGGGTGTGTGTGCACTTACCAGAGAGAGAGACAGAGACAGGAAGAGGGAAAGTGAGAACTCATCCCCCAGGGGATGGTCATGCCACAATCCCTTTTCCTCCTGGGATCTTAGGCACACATGCACACACACCCAGTGTGATTTTCAAGCCACCAGGTCCAGGACTTGAACTGCAGTCAGCCATGTGGGAGTCCAGCAACATAACCACAAAGCCATCTACTGGCCCCATATTTCTAAAACTTTTTTCATTTGATGTTTTTGGTCTTTACAGGCATGCAACCGTATTATCTGTAAAGAATAGTGATCTTCTTTCCTTTACAATATTTGTACTTTTTATTCTTATGTCTCACTGCCTTGGATTGAGTTCCAAAATTATTCAAAACAATATTATTTAAGTAACAGTGGAAGGAGTAGGGATCGATGTTTTCTTTCAAAGTTTCACAGAACCATTTCCAGTGTTTCATCCTGATACTGCTCTTGTCCTGAGAAAACCAATTTTAATCATGTTAATAAGTGTCTTCCAGTACCACCTCGTTAATGGTTATTATTTTCACAAATTGATATTAAATTTTTATCAAATATCTTTCTAAACTTTTATTTATTTATTTTATTGCTAGAGGGCTCATGTGCTTGCCAGACAGAGAGAGAGAGAAAGCACTCCCCTAATGAACTGTGTCATACCACGACCCTTTTTTCCTGCATTTCTCTTTCCTGTCTGGGTTCTGAGCGTGCACATACACACACCCAGCATATTTTTCAAGCTGCTAGGGCCAGGATTTGAACCATGGTCAGCCATGTGGGGTCCAGTTCAAAATGCACAGCATTTAACCAATGTACTACTGGAGCAGCCCCAGATACCTTTTATGATTTATTAAAGTGATCAGAATGTTTATCCTTGAACTCTTCAATATTACAAAATATATTTAAAGGATTTATAATAGTAAACCACCCTCGAGTTTTAGGAATGAACCCTCGGTTATTGTGTATTATTATTCTAATGTTAGGCTTGATATTATTTGCTAATTTTCAGGCAGCATTTTTCATCAACCTCCAATGTAAAATTGTTCTTAATGTGTTGTAATTCTTATGGTTTGGTATGCCTCTTTCACTGTTCTGGAAAACAGTTTAAATAGCATAAGAATTGTCTGTTTCTACCCAAAGGACAGAAGAATCCTTTTTTTTTTTTTTTTTGGAGGGGTTTCTGCCATAGGGGGGGGGGGGGAAACCACCCCCCGGG